CTTTTTCTTCATCTAATTGAACTGTAACTTAACTTAAGTTACAACATTTATGGTAACTAGTAACTAATTTAACAGTTATTTTAATATTCTATATACGATTGTATTAATTATAAAAATTAGGGCCTATCCAAACACACTTGCATAGTCGCATAAACATATGCATTAAGAAAGGAACAAAATTGTCATGGAATTTGTCATATTAAGTGTAGATTCGATATTTGTTAAATAAATAGACGAATAAACGTATAGATATTAATTATGAAATTCAACAGAAATAAACAAATTCTCATTTAAAGAATGCACTGCCACCCAGTAATAAATTATCTTTGAGGATGATTATCATATAAACATAAAGTTGAGACTTTAAGAAGAACTGAAACATTAGTCTACGATTTTTCGGAAAGTTACAACTGTTTGTGTGAAATTCGTGAATTTTTAAACTGAAAAATTTTAATCCTATAATTTTTAATCTAAGTGTATAATAATTTATTTAAATTATTAATTAATTTAATATTTTAAGTTTAAAACAATTGTGATTTATTACATATAAAATAATATAACACAAAATTAAGTACCTATGTAGTATATAATAAGTTAATAAATATTGAAATGTAAGATTCTTATATTTAAAATAGTAGTGCACATTTATTGCAAAAAAGTAACTGAAAAGTAACGACTTGTTATTTTTTGAGTAACTATAACTGTGACGTGTTACTTTTCAGAGTCGGTAACTTGTAACTGTAACTAGTTGTTTTTTAGTGAAAAGAACTGTAACTTTAACTAGATACTTTTACAAAATAACTTTCTCAACCCTGATGTATGTATATACATGTATATACTATAAACTATTATTAGATTAATAATAAAATAACGTTTATTATTCACTCAAATATCCATGTGGATTCCACGATACATGATTCACATGGCAATAACGTAGATTTCACGTACTGTTTTTGTCCAATACGCGCTTCACGCCGACACATCACATTTGGCATTTCGACCGATTTTGTTAAGAAAATTAAAATATATGTATACATTTACATATATAAATCAAAATTATCAATAATTAAAT